CAAAACCATCAACAAGAAGAACAACAAAAAAGAAGAAATTAGAAATCCCAATATTCAAAAAAAGGCAAAAAAAATTGTTAGGGTAAGTATTATATTTAATTTATTTTCACATTATTCAAATCAGTGATTTTTTTGCTAAAAATATCACATTATGCTTATTGTTGTTTTGAAACTTTTGTTTGGGTGAAACTTGTGCGAAATGTGAATAATATTTGTATAAATCTGACTTTAATATATGATTTTTGGATATTGTATGAAATATGATATAATATTGGTATGCAAATGGTATGAATTGTGTTTTGACATTGGTATGAAATTGGTTTGATATCAGTAGCCCAATGGTATGAATTGTTAAATTGGTATGCAGATGGTATGAATTGTTAAATTACTCTGTTTTGTATGAATTATGACTAATATTGATATGAAATTGAGATTTTTCCTAATAGGAAGGTTTCTTTTTCAATTTCTCCATTAATGTATTTAAATTTTTAACATTGGTATGAAAATGATATAAAATGATTTTTCTTTCAAATTTTTTTCAGTGATTGTGGTTTGTACACGTGTCTATTTGCTGAATACATCAGTAATAGAATTTTTGATATGCGTTCTATTGTTATCGATGCAAAGTACCATCGTCAAAGGTATGCCCGTATACATCAGTAATGGAGTTTTTGATAAGCGTTCTGTTGATATCGATGCAAAGTACCATCGTCAAAGGTATGCCACAATCATATGGCATTATGGAAAAAAAGAATGATGATGGTGCGATTAGTGAGAGTGAAGTAACTGACACTGTTGCTAGCAAATTTGGTGGACCCCGCATATCAAAAGAACATGCTCTGGATACCAGCAATTATCCCACACCAAGACCACGAAGATCAAATTTGAGATAGTTGATTGCACATTAGACTTTTTAGAATTACAATTTTTTTTAACTTTTGGACGATATTTTTGTGTTTGTTACAACTTTAAGTATTTGATATATATATATATAATATTCATTGTTTTATTCCAAAAAGAGATCAACTACATATGAATTACAGATTGACTATTGTAATCGCAGGATACTAGTTATATACAGACTGCATTCCAAATGGATACACCATTCTAAAGATAAATTACACATTGACTATAATAATTTTCGGGATAACAAGTAAATACAAAATACATACAAATTGGATCCAACATTATGATTTTACAATGTCTTATTAACTAGCAAGAAATCATACTACTAATTTAGAGTTCATGAACTAACTCTGACTTATAATTGGTATCCAAACTGTACACCTTTGGCATCCAAATTCATATTCTAACACAAAAAAATAAAAAAATAAAAAATGAATGAAGTTGGTATCCAAC